CACGACAAAACTCACCGATTCATATCAAATCACCTTATTATTAGCAAGACATTTTTGACTGAATTTGGGTCCTAAAATTTGTGATTTGTCTGTTGTTTAGTAATACATCACCGTACAAAGTACTATCCACTAGTCCTATACAAATCTAGAGCACCGTAAAGTTTTCACATAATATTAAAATAATTATCAAAAACACTGATTTCATCCCTTCTATATAAACCTCTCAAAAACCCACTTCGTTTCCATAGTTAGTCCGTACTCCATCAAAACCAAACCAAGTTCAATCATCTGAGAGTAGTGCTGATTTTCTTTGGCAAAAAGGAAAAGAAAAACGATATATTTGGTCAAAATGACTGATTTCAGGAACATGGGGCTGGACCCGGCGCAGCTGATCGAGTTCACCCTCCACGACATACTCGACTACAGCGAAGAGACGAGCGGCGGTCCGGGCGGCGAGGCCCACCACGCGCCATCGCGCGCGTACGTGAGGGACGCGAAGGCGATGGCGGCGACGCCGGCGGACGTGAAGGACACGCCGAACGCGTACGTGTTCGTGATCGACATGCCGGGGCTGAAGCAGGACCAAATAAAGGTGCACGTGGAGGAGGAAAACGTGCTGGTGGTGAGTGGGGAGAGGAAGCGGGAGAGAGAGAAGGACCAGGGCGTCAAGTACCTCCGTATGGAGAGGAGGCTTGGGAAATACCTCAAGAAGTTCGTGCTTCCCGAGAACGCCGACACCGACAAGATCTCTGCTTCTTACCAGGACGGCGTCCTCACCGTCACCATCCAGAAGAAGCCACCGCCGGAGCCGAAGAAGCCCAAGACCAGCGAGGTCCAAGTCGCCTAGTTCTCTCCATGTGTATGTGAACTTGTTGGTTGATCAGCTTTTATATATATATATATATATATATATATATAAGAATGAAAAAGGAGGGAGAAAAAAAAAAGAAAAAGAAAGAAAAAGAAAGAGCCAGTGCGTTTTAAGTGGTAGTATGTATGTAGTTATGCTCTTCTAATATATCTTTAATTAGCCATGTTTATCTTAAACAAGTATTAAAAAAAAATTTCCATCCTCTCCCAAAATAAAAAAAACCTGACACAAAAAAAAAGTTGAAAAGTCGTTGTCGCCAAATGGCATGGTCGTGTGAATTAATACTCGTACAACGTTCCTTCTAGACTATTCTAGAACAACCACTCCGAATCTCCTAGAACCTCCCATACTTTCTCCCACATCCCTCCAGAACCTTCTTCTCTCTCTCCATTCCCACCCTATAAATCCACTCAACCAACATCTTCCCCTTGTCAGCGATCACTCTCAGATAAAACAAACAAACAAAAAAAGCAAGCTTTGCAGTTTCCACTTTCTCGGAAATTCCGCCAAACAAGAAGAGGAGGACAATGGATTTCAGAATCTTGGGATTGGACTCCCCGCTCCTGTCAGCTCTCCAGCAGATGACGGACATCGAGGAGGAGGGCAGCAACCACGGAAAGTCGACGAACGCGCCGACGAGGACGTACGTGCGGGACGCGAAGGCGATGGCGGCGACGCCGGCGGACGTGAAGGAATTCCCGAACTCGTACGTGTTCGTGGTCGACATGCCGGGGCTGAAGTCCGGCGACATCAAGGTCCAGGTTGAGGACGACAATGTGCTGCTCGTCAGCGGCGAGAGGAGGAGGGAGGAGGAGAAGGAGGGTGCTAAGTATGTGAGGATGGAGAGGAGGGTCGGCAAGTTCATGAGGAAGTTTGTGCTGCCGGAGAATGCGAATACCGATGCGATATCCGCGATGTGCCAGGACGGAGTTCTGACCGTCACGGTGGAGAAGCTGCCTCCGCCGGAGCCCAAGAAGCCCAAAACTATCGAGGTTAAGGTTACTTAAGGAATATGCGTGTGTGTGTGTGTGTGTTTGTGTTTGAGCTTTTGGTGTAGTGAAACTTTGGTGTGCAAGAGATATCTTGTTATATTATTATGTCTTGTTTTTGGGATTGTGATGTAGAACCCCCTTGTCCTAGGTAGTATGTCAGTATGCATTGTGTTTCACTCAAACCAGTACCCTTTTGTGAGCAAGAAAAAAAATAAAAAATAAAGTATTTCCCTTTTTATTCTTGCTTCAATTCATTTTCCAGACAGGGAAATGCTTAATTTTAAACAGATCACTGAGTTGAAAGCAATGGACTTGAAAACCAAAATTTATAATCATGATGGAGATGGAAAATGAATAGATGAGTAAATCCCCAAAAATGAAAAAATAAATAAATAAATAACTATAGGGAATGCCACTACATTATTGTACTGTCTTGTAAATGCTGCTGCGTCTTGACAAGGATGTTTTCCGATAATTGAGCAGAGCGTATAGCCACAATTTAAAAAGTTTAGCCGACACTGGCGGAACAACAAACTCTTTCTTGTTAATGCTTTCATCTCTCGTTTTACTAGGTATGCTTTTGGTTTGTCCCTTGGGGTTTTGTGAGTGGTTCTCCCGGACAAAAAGTGCAATGTATCAGTTTCCTGAGAATGACTTCGCCGACGCCCAATCCAACTTCGATCCCTTTCCTGATCTGTCCGTGTTCGATGAGTGGCAGCTCGATGAAGATAGCGAACATCCGGTGTTGATGCCGCATGATTCGGGTCCTATGCCGCACCCCATTTATCATGCTAGTGAAGTTCATGATGAGTCCGGTGGGAGTAGCAGCCAATTTGGAGGACATGCTGGCAGTAAGCATATATATATTTGTTTTCACAATAATTGCGAATCATATCTTGACATTGTGATCTTTTTAGGAGCATCTATTTTGTTTCATATATTGAAATTGAAATCATTGACCTTGAAGTTGGATTTGTTCCTATTTTTTACGTTTTTTAAATAAAAAATATAAAAAAAGAAGAGAACAGTATTTAACACAATTAAATATAAAAAATAAAAATAAAAATAATTTTTTAATTTAGTATATAATAATAGAGAAATGATAAACTTGAAACATGATCTAGGACTGCCTAGATCCTTCTACTTCCTTCTCGATCCTTCTACTTCCTTCTCAATCCTTCTAGTTCCTCCTCGTTAAAAAAAAAAAAAAAAAAGTGTATTCTCCAGTCTGAATTTTGCTGTTTGATTTGAGTTCATACAATATTTAAATAGGAAAAATAAACAAGAAAATTAACGACGAAATGTTTCCCATGGTATTCCATATTATGACAATGGTAAGGCTAATTATTATTCTTTCCTTTTCCAAATCTGTTATTTTTGGTTGGAAACATTGTAGCAATAAAAATTTATTATTACAAAAATTTTTTTTAATAACATTTTTTGTTTTTAAATTATCGTTCAAGTTGTGAAAACGGATTCGGAAAAAAGAAATTTATTACTTACTGTTTTCAGGGAGAATGAAGCAAAGTCGTGAAAGAAAAAAAACCCACAATGAAAGGAAAAAGCAACGACGGGGAGGGGGCTCACGAACGAATAAAATGACATCGCATGGTAACTTGCAGAAAGGAGACGATTGATACAACAACGACAAAGAATAAATAAAATGACAACAATGACGCAAACGACAACGAAGGGACAAATTAGAACACATGGGAAAGGACAATGAAACAAAAATGAAACACAGAGGTAATGAACGACACGGAAAGAGAGAAATAACAGAGGCGTTAAAGACTAGACTACCAGTGAGAGAAACAAAAGGAAAGGAGGAAAAGAGGGGGAAAAAAAAATACACATTGGACGTATTGGAGATATTGGATTAAATGAGATTTCTCAGTTCATTAATTTCATTGTAATCCCATTATTTTTGTTTTCCCATGATTTTAGTTTTCGTGATTGTATTCCTTTTGTAGTTTTGTTTTACTTTTCTCTGATTGTTTTACTCTGTCTTCTTTCTATTTCTCTTTCTATTTTTTCTTGATTAGCTTTCTTTTTGACACCTATTACCATGGCTTCAGAAACAGATAAAGAAAAAGAGCTTAAAAATATCCTTTCTTTACACCCTTCAGACAATCCCGATACCGTTCCAGTTTCTTCTTCACTAAACGGAGAAAACTATATTATGTGGAGCAGAGTGCAAAGAAGAAAGCGGATCCATTCCTAAACCATCTGATACAGATCCCTTTTCTGACTCTTAGAAACGCCGTGATGGTATGATGGCTTCATGGATTGTAAATGCACTCGCACCAAAACTTGCAGCAGATGCCATTTATGCAAAAACATCAAGGGATCTCTGGGTAGATTTTCAAGAAAGGTTCTCTCAAATTAATGGACCACTGATTTTTGAGATTCAAAGGAAAATCAGCTCCATTTCACAAGCTCAGGATTTCGTCACTACTTATTTCACAAAACTGAAAACACTGTGGGATGAGTTGAATTTTTATATTCCTATTCCTCTTTGGGTCTACGAAAATATTACTCAAAAGGTTCCTGCGCGCTTTTTATGATTCAGATTGAGCAACTTGTCCAGATTCACGACGTTCAATTACAAGGTATTGTGTTTTGCTTGGTGATTCTCCAATCTCTTATAGATTAAAGAAACAATTTACGGTCTCTCGTTCTTCCGCATAAATTGAATATTGAGCAATGACTTCAACATATTGTGAGATCAGTTGATTATGTTATTTATGTAAAAATTTAGGAATTGATCCCTCTTAACTAACAAATCTTTATTGTGACAATAAAGTTGCATTATAAATTGTTGCAAATCTCACTTTTCATGAAAGGATAAAGCACATAAAAATTGTCGTTGTTTTAACAATAAGCACCCACATTAAGAAAGATTCTTGACCTGTTATTAGGCGGGCCAAACATAAAAATTCAAAATTTTAAGTGAGAAAAATTACAAATTCTCTAAATTTCACGTATTAAATTAGAAGGAAAAAAAAATACATGCGCAAATAAGATATGGCCTGCAGTTTCAAAAAAAAAAAAAGGCTTGCACAAGATTACCAAATTAGGAAAATTGACAGAAGTTAACGTGATCAGAAGTGGCTTTTAATGACAAACTCAAGTAACTATGGCCTCATTCATTTCACCGATTCGAATTTAAATTTTAAATTTTAATAAGTAAAAAATTCTCAAAAATAATTATATTTAATTTTTTTAGTACAGTAAAAAATTTTCACATAAAATTATATCTTAATTCAAATTAAAAACTTAAATCAACAAACTATACAGACTCTATGTTATTAAATTGCATCCTTATTTTTCTGTTATTTTTGTCTTCGTTCTTAGAAGTGCTAATTAGCCTTATTCTTCATGTAGTTGCGCAAGATTATCTGCTGTGTGCGGTGATTTTTCCTTGGGAGAAGGTCCCCCAATATGGGGAGTTGACCAAGATCCACGAGGATATTGTTGTTGTTGTTTTTTTTTTTTTTTTTTTAAGAAGAAGATATTGGCTTCATTCACTTCTCGGATTCGAGTTCTTAATTTAAGTTGAGATGTGACATTTTTAAAGAGTTTTTTACTGTAACAAAAAAAGTTAATGTGACATTTTTTGAGAGCTTTTTACTATACAAACATAAAACTGAAAACTCGAATTGATAAAATGAACGAGACTATTGTTTAGTCAATAAGATATAATATTGAGAGAAAGAGAGAAATAGGCCAAGACTTGAGATGAATTAAAATTAATAGACCAATAGTTTATATAAGTTAATAAATATGTCAAATTACTGTTTTTGTCTATAATTTATCTGGTTATGAATCATAACTTGACAAGTTATTGTCCATAATTGTCTATAACTTGTCTGGCTATAAACCATAACTTAACATATTTGTCCATAACTTATCTGGTTATGAACCATAACTTGATAAGTTATGACCTATTAATTTCTATAACTAAAAATTAACTTATATACTTTTTTTAAGCTTTTCATATTGGTCTATTTTCTATTATTTTCCTATAATAATCAGCTAAAACAAAATAAATAAATAAATTATAAAAAAAGACATATAATGATAAGATTTTCGCAGAAAGTTGCAAAATCAAGAAGCGAAAATATCAGATAACGCGATAATTAGAAGTGGCAACAAACTTATTAGCCATGTTTATCTTAAACAAGTATTAAAAAAAATTTCCATCCTCTTCCAAAAATTAAAAAACCTGACACAAAAAAAAAAAAGTTGAAAAGTCGTTGTCGCCAAATGGCATGGTCGTGTGAATTAATACTCTCGTACAACGTTCCTTCTGGACTATTCTAGAACAACCACTCCGAATCTCCTAGAACCTCCCATACTTTCTCCCACATCCCTCCAGAACCTTCTTCTCTCTCTCCATTCCCACCCTATAAATCCACTCAACCAACATTTTCCCCTCGTCAGCGATCACTCTCAGATAAAACCAAAAAAAAAAAAAGCAAGCTTTGCAGTTTCCACTTTCTCGGAAATTCCGCCAAACAAGAAGAGGAGGACAATGGATTTCAGAATCATGGGATTGGACTCCCCGCTCCTGTCAGCTCTCCAGCAGATGACGGACATCGCCGAGGAGGGCGGCGACCACGGAAAGTCGACGAACGCGCCGACGAGGACGTACGTGCGGGACGCGAAGGCGATGGCGGCGACGCCGGCGGACGTGAAGGAGTACCCGAACTCGTACGCGTTCGTGGTCGACATGCCGGGGCTGAAGTCCGGCGACATCAAGGTCCAGGTTGAGGACGACAATGTGCTGCTCGTCAGCGGCGAGAGGAGGAGGGAGGAGGAGAAGGAGGGTGCTAAGTATGTGAGGATGGAGAGGAGGGTCGGCAAGTTCATGAGGAAGTTTGTGCTGCCGGAGAATGCGAATACCGATGCGATATCCGCGATGTGCCAGGACGGAGTTCTGACCGTCACGGTGGAGAAGCTGCCTCCGCCGGAGCCCAAGAAGCCCAAAACTATCGAGGTTAAGGTTGCTTAAGGAATATGCGTGTGTGCGTGTTTGTGTTTGAGCTTTTGGTGTAGTGAAACTTTGGTGTGCAAGAGATATCTTGTATTATTATGTCTTGTTTTTGGGATTGTGATGTAGAATCCCCTTGTCCTATGTAGTATGTCAGTATGCATTGTGTTTCACTCAAACCAGTACCCTTTTGTGAGCAAGAAAAAAAATAAAAAATAAAGTATTTCCCTTTTTATTCTTGCTTCAATTCATTTTCCAGACAGAGAAATGCTTAATTTTAAACAGATCACTGAGTTGAAAGCAATTGACTTGAAAACCAAAATCTATAATCATGATGGAGATGGAAAATGAATAGATGAGTAAATCCCCAAAAAAGAAAAAAAATAAATAAATAAAAACTAGAGGGAATGCCACTACATTATTGTACTGTCTTGTAAATGCCGCGTCTTGACAAGGATGTTTTCCGATAATTGAGCAGAGCGTATAACCACAATTTAAAAAATTTAGCTGACACTGGCGGAACAACAAACTCTTTCTTGTTAATGCTTTCATCTCTCCTTTTACTAGGTATGCTTTTGGTGTGTCCCTTGGGGTTTTGTGAGTGGTTCTCCCGGACAAAAAGAGCAATGAAAAAACCCTCTTTGTCCTCAACGGGATCCGTCCGAAGCAAATTTTCAGCTGCAGTTCGGAAACAAGCCAGATATTAGGTGCATAATCGAACTTGTCCACGTGACAATTACAATTTAGGTTAAACGAAGAAAACACTCACCTCCTTCAAAAACCGGAAGGCCTCGCCGCTGCCATCGAGGGAATGGAGCTTCGAGACGGAAACCATGGGACGTGGCAAGAGGTAAAACGGATTTTACGACGTCTTCATTTTCAGTCTGGTGGATAGAGCAAGTGCTGTAGACGACTCTCTCTACTGCTGGAACTGCCAATATGATGATATATGACACATGAGACGTCAATGATGCCAACAACATTGCGCAAAGCCATGAAACTGCGACGAAATCTTTCAGGAAAGGGCATAAGCGCCACTAATGAGATTTGCATGATAGCATACACACTTACAAGATAACGCATGCTCAAGAGCCTTTCTCTGGAAAGCTGCAAGCCTGTTCAGTCTTTCCTCGTCACCACCATCGCCTGCCTGACCTGTTGCCATTTCAGATTAAATTACTGCACATGCAGGACTATAAGTTTTATTATTTTACTTTTTTTCATAACAAAACGAGAGAGAGAGAGAGAGAGAGAGAGAGTGTGAGAGAGAGAGAGAGAGAGAGAGAGAGAGAGAGACAATGTCTTGCACGTAAATGCACAACTATTTTGAATAGATATGCTTCCAAAATGAATGTTGGTAGAAGAAAGTAAAAAGTTACCAGCGGCATAAGAAGGAAGCAGATGGTCTAATCTCACAGAAGCAGTCCCAGATCCAGAGCAGGAAGGATCCAAAAGAATGGCTCGGACCTAAAATCATTGAACTAGGTTATCAAGCATAAACTAGATTTTCTTAGTCTCGTTGATGTAGCCACCAGGATAAAAGCCACCAAGGAATTAGTGTTACAAGTTAATCTCCCTTACTCCTATGGGAATTAGTGTTTCAAGTTAATCTCCCTTACTCCTATTTAAATAAGAAGAGCAAGGCGTAAAATCTTACATTTTACACACACACACACAAGCATTAAGCTGAAATAGTTGATCTTGTTAGACACAACTTTTATACATTAAGCTGAAATATTCAAAAGAAGCAATGTGAAATACAACATTAGCAACTTAAAGATGATGCCGGTTGCCTTACCTTAGAATACGAAGGATCATTTGCATTTAAACCTAAGAAATCCCCATGCAAAACCTTTATATCTACAATTTAGGTTAAGGAAATAAAATAAAAGAAATTATACATAAAAGGAAAGGGAAAAGGATTTGCCTTAATAAAAAACCACAAACTATGAACGACACTGAAGACTGGAAAGTCACCGAAAGGATACTAGAAGCACCAGAGAGTTTGACAGTGTCATTCAAACGTTTAACCCTCTCTTTGTTCAGCTCGCATGCTACAATCTTTCCCTTCCCTCTCATGAGAGCAGAAAGGTGCACAGTTTTGTTCCCCGGGGCAGAACATGCATCAAGAACCTTCATTTAAAAGTAGGTAGTTAGCATCTTTGACAGTTTGCACTTTGTATTGTTTATGCCGTAGAAAAATGTTTGCTGTTTGTGTTCAGAATGTTCAACTTCTTGAGCCTTTTCCTCTTTTACATTTACAAATTTGTGAATTTATTTCTCAACCGTCAATATCAGCGAGAAGAGCATAAGCAACTACCTCCCATCCTGGCTTAGGATCCAGCGCTGCTGCCACCATAGAGCTTGCCTTTCCCTGTCAAACAGATTACTACAATATAAATTTATGGGAAAAATAAAAATAAAAGCTACAACCGCTGCAAATAATAATAGTCTTCACTGCCAAAGAACCATTATCAAGTCAAAATCTGGATATGGGAAGGAGAATATTCATAGGACCATAGAACAACGATACTATTCTTCCATGAACATGGAATATGACCACATAAAAGTCATGTTGCAACTGACTTAAGCTGATTCTTGCGAGAATCTTACTTGCAAAAAAATACTCCCATTCACAACAAGGGGATGATTGTGCAAATCACAACCCGGTGGAAGTATCAACAAGTCAGGGACGAGCTCGTCCTTTTGAACCTATTTAACAAATGAAACAAACAATACAAAGAATAAGAAATCAGAAATGATAATAGAACAAAAGCATGCTATATATATCACTTTACAAAATGAAACAAACAGTGTAGTTATAAAGACCATACTGAGTACTAAAATATTTACGCAATCAGATGCATACACAATATTAACTCAGACAGTAACATCAAACCCAAGAATGTAGCTGAAAATACCGAATATTGTTTCTCCAGTTCCAGTCGTGCAGATTCAACATCTAGTTTCAGAGTGTTTACACGAACATAACGAGGCTTTGAAATATCTGCATCAGAAAACAGAAACTTGTTATTCAGGTAAATTTATATCTCAAGGTTTGAAATCCTGATTACATCCAATTCAATTAAGATATCGTGTAGAAGTATGATTTCTTCTAAAAAAAAAGTGCCAAATATAGCATGGCATCGCAGATGTCGAATGGACTAGTACTTCTACGAACTTCGACAAATCCGAATGTTCATTCCACAAATGAATCAAATCCTGTAATTATCCTTTGAATTACTCATATATATCCTTACTAAAAAGAATGTACTATTGGTACACACACCTGGAGATTGATAAAGAGCTATCAACTCTTGGACGTTCTTTACTTTTCTTCTCTTCAAAAGCGAAGCTAGACCGGACACCAGAGCATCTCTTCGGCCTGACAGAAACTTCTCCGCGTCACCAGTAGATAAAATTGCCTGCACATTCACGAACAAAAAAGCAAATTTTCATTGCAAAAAGATCAAAGCAATCGAAAACACGAAATCATTCATTTCCAATAAAATTTACCTGTCCGAAAAGAATGTCGTACACTATTATATAAACCAACTCCTCTTGCTTCTGCAACAGCAATGTAAGTTTCCTTTCACAATATACACTAAAGCAATGCACATAAACTGTTTGTTAAAATGCTACCTTCCACTTGCTATTGAGTATGCCATCAGCATTCAACACTTCTTTTATGATACAAAGATCTGAAAAACAAGAGAAAATCGCGAATCACATTCTCAGTAGCTGAAAATTCGATTTCGATTGTTCCTTCTTTTAAACTTACGTTTTAGGGTTTGACACACGAGAGCGAAAGTTGCCTTCTTGTTCCTCACGGAGGGCCTGTAGACCAGCGACTTGATGGAGCCGACGGCACGGCGCCGAGCGTCGCCTTGGAGAACGAGCCGCAATACCTTAGCCGCCTCTCTCCGGGCGAAGAACGCCGACCTTTCAGCGTTGGTACGGCGCTGTTTCTCCGACTTCCCGGCGGCTGTGGACCGTTTCGTCGTTGCGCTCTTAGTACGCGCCATGGCTCAGGGTAGCGGCACAGAGAGCGTCGAAATTAATATATTTCCTGAGACGACGTCGTTGGGCTACGGGTTGTTTTTCTAAATTCTAAGGAAAAAAGGTTATATTTATATGTACGGTTTTAAGGAAAACAAAAAATAAAATAAAATAAACGGGTAATATGTCACGACCCCAAGAATAGGGCCGTAATTATTGAGATTTAATTTAAAATTTAACTTAATTAAACCGGACTGTTTAACAAAAATTACAAAAATATAAATACAGAAATATCAATATAGTTTGCTCCGGAGACTTTCTTTCACAAATAATATTTAAAACAGTCCATAAAGTCTAAGGAAAATAGTACAACTCTAAAAAATGTCGACCAATACAGTTTACATACAGAAATACAGTACATCTTAGAATTTAAAACTGTGAATTCGAAACAAACGTACCGCTTTGAATCTCACGTCCTTTATCCATTGGCATCCACTTGTCACGCAGTAAATCTAAATTGCCAACGCTGGATGAGGGGTTTAAAACATTGAAAAGTGAGCGGAAGGCCCAGTAGGACATAATCTTATAAAACATAATAAATAAGGTACTCACGGTCCGAAGACATGCACCCGGAACCGATCATCTTTTTTTTTTTAAAAAGAAATACTCACATAGTAGTAGAAAATATCTGTAATATGAAAGTGTGCAGATCATCATACCACTGAGCAAGGAGTGGTCAAATGTCTGTCTAGTGAAAAAGTGCAAAGCCATAATTCCACTGAGCAAGAAGTAGAACCGTACGGGTTTCGGAACCTGCCCCCAAGGATACGATTCCCATATCCCGATCTCTGTGGCCACCAAGCATTGTATCATTTCTTAAGATATTTCATTTTAAGAAATGATACTCTTTAAAATCTCATTTCTAAAATCATTGGAAAACTTAATAGCATTATTCATGCTATTTCCTTTAAAATCATTTTCTTTCAATATGTTTTGTTCTAAAACATTTTGATTGGCCAAAATCATTTAAAATGAGGCTAACAAGGATATGGACAAGAATATCCTACCTTTTTTATGTCAAACCTGTGGCTATCTTCACGTAACCCTAGCTCTGCTTGTCTTAAAGCTTTAATACTCGATCTTCTCCACTAGCTTTATGACAAAAGCAGTGTCTTAGGATATATTTCTCATTCCTAAAACGAATTGAGCTCAATCATGTTTAATTGTTTCCTATTAGTGTGCATTGACTCAAATCCAAGTTTCACAAACGAGTTTATAATCAGTTTGAGGGTTCCTTAAGGATTGAAATTCAATTCATGGGTTTGGTTTTCTATTTAATTTCAGCTTAAAAACAAGTTTTTTTTTAAAGAAATTTCGGCAGCATGCCGGCATAAATAGGAAAAATGCCAAACCTGCAATTCAAGTTCAATTTCAAAATAAATTCTCCAGAATCCAACAAACCCAATTTCTAATTAATTCAACAAGTCCAATAACTGAAAACCCTCAAATTTCATTCAATTCTAACAACAATTTTTCAAATCCAAATCCTAACTCAAAATTATTCAAATCTAAAAAAAAAAAAAAAACTTTCTCAAGCTTAAAATTCGAATCAAAGAGTGGGTTTCAAGGTGTTTTTACCTCAAATTAGTTGATGGAGCTTTGTTTCCCTCGGTTTCTCTCGTTTTCATTTTTTTTATGTCTTTCGGCCAAACTGTCGAGAGAGAGAAAGAGACGCAGAAGAGAGAGGTGGCCGTAGAGAGGGAAGGAGTGGTGGCCAGCGGTGAAGAAAGAAAGAGAGAGGGAGTTACCGTGGAAGAAGAAAGAAGAAAAGGAAAGAAAGAAAGAAAGAGAGAGAGAGAGGGGGCTGGTCTGGCAGCCACGGGAAGGGAAGGGAAAAAAGAAAAAGAAAAGGAAAAGAAAGAAAAAAAGGAAAATTAAAAGAAAATACACTAAAATTAAGTGTATTTTCAAAAAAAAATTGGGGTGAAAATTGAAAAACTGAAAGTAATTTATAAGTCCTTAAAATAACTTAAAAACCTAATCTTTAATCACAAGATTAATTAGCAAAGTCATTTTTAGGCACACTAATATACACAATTAACATAATTAAACATGTTTAATTCTAGAGGGCGTTACATAATAGGAAGGTTGTTTTAGGGTCCGTTTAGTTCGCTGGTTTGAGTTTTTAATTCGAGTTAAGATGTGACTTTATATAAGAGTTTTTTACTGTAGTAAAAAAAAAAAAGATGTTGACGGTGGATTTTTGTCAACTAAAGATTAACTCTCCGAGAACACTCACAGTAACCTCGCACGAATTAATTAAGGATTAATGTTGCAAAATAATATAGAGAAGACAAGAATTTATAGTGGTTCGGCAAGATTTCATGGCCTAATCCACTTGTGGATGCACTAATACTTTGTTGATTACAATTTCTCTGGAATAGTAGAGTAGTGCCTAAAAAACTTAATGAATTCCCATGGCTCTATTTATAGGCCTTGTACATATGAGAGACCTCCTCTACATTTTTTGAGGAGATCATCCTCTATCCCTTAATTCTGAGATTTGGCAATTGTATATTTATGATTACGGCTTCCTAATTAGGCTAACCACCCTTACCGGCTACCTGATTTCCTGACTTCGACAGTAGTAGTTGGTACAGTGCATCTTCCTTTGAGTTGACATGATTATCTTTGGATTGGACTGGGCTGTGACCTCGATGTCGTGACCCTCACAACTCAAGCGGGGTTCTCGACGCCCGTTACCCTGCATGAACTCCCGACGTCTAATGGGCACCCTAGGTACAGTAGTTTTCTCGACGCCAGCGACCGATTCTCGACAGGGAGGCCTCGGCGCTTGTCGTTAAAAGGAATGATCGATCCCTCAACCATGGTGTAACAATTACCCCTAGACTAGGATGTCACATTGCGATGTTCCAGGCTATACAACGTCGAGAGTACCACGTGGCAACTTCTTTCCTGCAGATCATGGCGGCTGTTTGTCGGTACAGTGCCATCATTACGGCGAGTTTTTCAGGCAGTGGAGCAGTCTCATCGATCATGTCAATGGTCACGTCCCCTATACCCTGGTGAAATGTGGCAGTCGAGGGGGAAGTTGCAGCCGTCCGATCAGATTAATTTCTCCCGCTCTTATCCCAGCCGCTGGATCACGTCTCTTCAGATTCACCGTTGGATGAGGTCGGTTTGAATTCGACAGTCAAGATCTGGGGTTGTTTAGACTTTTTAGAGGCTCCTGGGCTTCTCCCTCAGGTATATATATACCCATTGACATAGTTTTACGGTTGCCCATCTTTCAAAACACCATTACACTGTCGGATTTCTACCAGGTGTTACCACCTCCTACTTCAACTTCTATGTGCATTTTTCATTCCTTTTTTTTTCCTGTGCGATTCTAGAACCAATAGCTATAAAGGAAAAAGTAATCTGTTAAAAGGAAAAATGAACTTACTTGGTTGTGAAACTAGGGTTGAGCCTGGGTGGCATTGTTCACTTGGGCTCGATTGCTCTTGTTGGGTGTCCTCAGGCTTGTTTTTGGATTCTGGGGACCCTACATGAGCTCTCTTTTTTTTTTTTATCTTCGTGCTGGGTTCCAAACTATGGGGCCTATATGATCTGAGCACCCTCCCATTTCTTCTTGAATCTTGTTTCTGGCCTCTCACCCACTAGGTACTAACTCGGCCCCTTCTGTGTTTATTTCCAGAGCCTGCCGCCCAAACAGGTTAGAGGTCCAGAGGTCTTCACTTTCAGAGTTAAGGATGACCCTAAAGATGCCGCGTCGACGAGTACGTCTTCAGGCGACAACGGGGACTCTTTGCTTCGTCAGGTGGATGAGTACGCCGAGGGGTCGGTCTCGACCTCTCAGCCAGACGAGCTAATTCTCCTTGATGATGAGGATGATGGCCTAAGGGTCGGCCTTGCTGGGGGGCGTGGTTACGGGGTGACGTCGACCAGTGGCATCTCGGGGATGGTGACAAATGTTAATTCGTCAAAGATAAAGCCCCGGGTTGCCATGAAGGCATTTAACGATGTGGAGATCAACGCCAACAATTTTTATTTGATTATCCCGACCCTTAACATAGGGCTCACAACCCCCCTGTAAATCATATGACCGTATACACGCGTTCCCTTAGTTTTGGGCAGACTCTGCCTTTTCACCCTTTCATGAAGGCCCTTTGTGGCCTTCACAGGATTTTATCCGCACAACTGTCACCCAATTGCTAGGTGACAATAAACTTCATGATCATTTTGTGGAGAAAATTTTTTAACCTTGACATAACCGTCGAGGAGTTTTTGTACTGTTACGCCTTTAAGGGTTCCCCCAATCAAAGGGGGTTTTTCTACTTCGGCTCCCACTCCAAATCCAAACCTTCAATCCTGCTTGTCGTGGTCGAGAAGACTTCTAGTTACCACGGGTGGAAGCCCCAGTTCTTTTTCCTTAGTGGCAACTTTAACTCTCACCCGCTCGACGATAAGCATCCCCTGGGGACGCAGACAGTATTCAGCAAATACTGTAGGTCTCATTTTTATTAAATTTTTGTAACATCTCCCCATCTGTCGAGCAATCTTACATATGTTGCTCTTTATTGTAGGTGAAGTCTGTACTCGACCGAAGCTTTCTTGAGCTGCCCTAACACGAGTCAAGCAGATCCTGTCCCTTCCTGACTCTAGCCGGAGCTCCACTGTTCTCAATACCCTAGAGAACCGTCGGTTATACAGTTTGGTGGTCACCATTGCCCCTCCGCGCCAGCCAATTGCGCCCCCTACGGATCTCCTCAGCGGTAAGCTGGACCTTATTTTCCCCATCTTTCAGCAG